GTTTTTTTTTTTTTTTTTTTTTGATGCATTAGGCCAATGACCGTAATTTTACATGTAGGTTTTAGACATTCAACAGATGTTATCTAAAGCAATTTGAATTGCATTAATGCCGAAACATGCATTATCACTTTAAGCATTCTCTGGGAATCAGAAAGAGGAGAAATTATTACTGTATTTACTTCATAGTATTTTAATTGCAGCTGCATGTAGAGACGCCACAATTCATCTTCTCACTTTTTTTTTTTTTTCTATTAAGTCTTTATAAACATTTTTGTGATTTGATTTACTGACACAGTACTTTAGTTTTAATCAATATTTATGTGCTATCCAAATACTATTTTAAAGAACTATGCTGATTTACGGCATACTGCATTATAAAGTTGTTAATGCATTAATTATGCTTTGTAATGCAGCTTATGCATAGTATATTCTCATTACCTCAGTTATTCTCATAACTGTAACCAGTTATTATACTATCTATTCATTGTTACACCTTTAGACCGTATAATGCATCAAAATGCATGACAATCAACCAACTTCAGATGCAACAAGGAATCTACAAATATTATAATGCATTTTGATTGCATCAGTGTCTCAGCAATGGATGCTCTGCAGTGATTGGGTGCCGTCAGAATGAGAGTCCAAACAGCTGATAAAAACATCACAATAATCCACAAGTAATCCACAGCACTCCAGTCCATCAGTTAACATCTGGAGAAGACAAAAGCTGAAACAAACCCATCAAGACATTTTTAACTAAAATACGAGTCCATAATCCATAAAAACGCTTTATTTTTAAAGTTTGTGTTCTGGTTCCATAATCCATAAAAACGCTTTATTTTTAAAGTTTTAAAACGATTATTGTGATGTTTTTATCAGCTGTTTGGCCTCTCATTCTGACGGCACCCATTCACTGCAGAGCATCCATTGCTGAGACACTGATGCAATGCTACATTTCTACAAACCTGATGAAGAAACAAACTCATCCTAATCTTGGCTGGCCTGAGGGTGTTCATAATAGTTCATTTTTTGACTATTATAGTTAATTTTTAGTCCATTTTTGGGTCAACTGTTCATTTAAGTGAAGAGCATGTCTTTCTCTCAGCTGTTTTTATCAACATTCCACACACTGGTTTTCCTTTTTTTCAGCCGGGTGACTATGAACATGCTTAAAAACACATGATTCAGCTCAGTGTGGCATCAGCTGATGCCCTGCGTCTAAAACACTCATGCAAACTCACACACACTCGGCGGACGACAGTGGCACGTACAATCTTTATTTGTATTCAGAGTGAAATAATTGCAGTGTAGTCTCTGTCAGCGATGAATTAGTTCCACTAAAGTCATGTAGAAAATAAAACTTCATATGAAATAAATATTCCTATTCAATCCTTCAATAAATATGATCTGTGTACAGCAGCCGTAGTTACTCCTAACACGCAGGACAGTTAAAGTCAGACGCATACGCAATAACTTAATCAGTAGGATCCCTGCATAGATAAATCTCAAACATACAAATATAAATCATTAAAAAGACATGATCTCGTTCTAAACAAACTCAAAATAATATATGCAGATATTGTCGTTGGATCTCCAGTCAGTTTCATAATGCAAAACCAGATTGTTGATTCCTGCCGGAGCTGAAACTGATGCTGAATTTAGAAAAACGACACCATGAACTTTAATCCAGGCCAGAACATTCAGACTGCGAGGAAACGTCCTTCATCCACAGGAGGAGTCCAAAACACCAGCTCCGGTTTCACACACACACACACACACGATCCTTAGTATGCATGTACACGCGCACACACACACACAAACACACACATCTGCTCACGTACATGGTCCTTCGCATGCATGCATGTACACACACACACACACACAAAC